GAAAGAAAGAGGAAAGAAAGAAAGAAAGAGAAAAGAAAGAAAAAAGAAAGAAAGAGAGAAAGAAAGAAAAAGGAAGGAAGGAAGGTTTCCTGTCCTGGACAAAGAACTGGACTAGAAGTATTCATAGGTCTCTTCCAGCTCTATGATTTGAAGGAAAGGGGGAAAGAAGGAGGGAAAGAAAGAAAAGGAAAGAAAGAAGGAAGGAAGGAAGGAAAGAAGGAAGGAAGAAAGGAAGGAAGGAAGAAAAGAAGGAAAGAAGGAAGGAAGGAAATATTACAAGCCCATCCCATTTGATAAAGACAGGGCTCAAAATATATAAAATATATAAAATATATTTATAATAATATTTTCTTGCTGTCTGGTTTTTGTGCCCAGATCCCATCCCAATAATGAAACATCATTGTCTCTTGCATGGTCTACCTGTCCAGGTAATGGCATCTACCTGGCTGCCTTAGACTTAGAAGAAGACTTAGAATAACTTTATTGTCACTTTGGATGTACACTAATCCGGCATACATTAAAATGAAATTTCGTTGCATACAGCTCTCAAAAGATCACCACCTCCAATATACACTACATAGCCATGACAAAATAAATAAATACATACATAATTATGCATATACCCACATATATTATTATGTGACACAGAGAAACAACGCAGTCTAGTCTGGATATATACATGTACATGCGAGAGAAAAGGATCTTGCGAATTTGCCAGACAGATGGTATAAGGGTACAAAGCTGTCACAGAATCTGGTAGTCCTGCTAGAAATACTTTGAAACCCCCTCCCAAAGAGGAGCAACAGAAACAGACCATGAAGTGGGTGTGTGGGTGTGTCTCTAACAATGCGTCGAGCTCTAAGCACAGAGTGCTTATAAGCAACATCCAGAATAATAGGAGTCAAGCTTCCTATAATCTCCACTGTCCCCACCACTCTCTGTAGGGACTTTCTATCTGAGGTGCTGCTGCCACCGAACCAAACAGATGAGGTTTGTGAAAATGCTCTCCATCGTGCCTCTAGTAAAAAAAGTGGCCAGGGCAGAAGGAGAAAGATGTCCTGTCCTCATCCGACGCAGGAAACTCAGATGCTCGTTTGCCCGCTTGCCTGTTCCCTAAGTAAGGCCCTTCCGTGCTCATCCTTCTATCCTTGTTCTAGAACGGCCTCTCCCCCATCCACATGGCCTCCCAAGGTGACCACTTGGACTGTGTGCGGCTTCTGCTGCAGTATAACGCCGACATTGATGACATCACATTGGACCACTTGACCCCACTGCACGTGGCTGCCCACTGTGGCCACCACCGTGTGGCCAAGATCCTGCTCGAGAAGGGAGCCAAGCCTAATGCGCGGGCCCTGGTGAGTACAGGCCAGAGAAATTGTTCAGATTATTGCGGTGTAAATTCAGCGCCAGAAAAGTAAACACAGATGGCTGAGGCTTCATTGAACTTCTTTATAAACATATAAAGTAAATTTTACAGTACCAGTTGTAGATTTCTCCAACATTTCTCCAAACTCAAACAGAAGCAGACAGGTTACAGGTTCAAAGCACAACAGAAACTCAGAAAACAGACCTCAGTTTCACTTTAGTTCAGCGGGCAAGCAAGACACACAGCAGAGGAAAGAAGCACTTTCATCTTCAACAGACAGACTCAGAGCTCAACAGAGCTGCAGAGCTTAATATAGAGCCAGGCCTAGGCTACTTCTAGTTTCAGTTTCCAAACAGTCCTCCTTGGCTGACTTAGTTGCTGTGCCCATTCACTGGCTGACCTTGTTACAAACGTGCTCTATTCCAGTCCATGAATATACTCTTGATAGAAACAAGGTAAGGCCAGGCGGGTACCTGCCCTGCCTTATTGGTTGGTCTCCTTTCCCCTGCAGAATGGCTTCACTCCACTCCACATAGCCTGCAAGAAGAACCACATCAGGGTGATGGAGCTTCTTTTGAAGACGGGGGCCTCCATCGACGCAGTGACGGAGGTAACGAAGTTCAGGAATCTACTGATTTCTGTAGAGCTGGCCTCAAGTAAATGACAGTTTCTAACTACGGTATGGAGAAACGGACGGAGACAAATGCAGAAGGTGGAATTCATCTATGTTCTCTCATTTTTCTTTTGACAGTCGGGACTCACTCCTCTTCACGTGGCCTCCTTCATGGGGAACCTTTCCATTGTCAAGATCTTGCTCCAACGGGGAGCATCTCCCAATGTTTCCAACGTGGTGAGCAAAAAATTAATGGCTTAACCAATTCACTATTTCTTTGGGACAATTTTTTTTTTAAAAAAATAACCTTTATTGAAATTTGAAACTTTAAAATACAAGTAAATTCAGAAATAACTTTTTACAAATCTCAATCTTCTTTGACAGTACTAAAATACCTTGGTTATATACATACATTCCCATACATTTCTAGTTATTCATATCCATATCCATATCTTCTAATCTGTACATTTCTTATTCCTATTATCTATCCATTGATACCAATTTTCCCAAACCGTTTAATATTCTGAGTCTTCCTTGTCCTTTAATTCTAAGGTTAGTTTATCAATTTCTGCGCAATCTAAAATCTTTCAGATTACTAAACAATCTGTCGGTATAGTGACCCTTTTCCAGCGTTGGGCGAGTGCAGTTCTCACTGCTGGAGTTATGTGTAAAATGAAATATTTTATCTTTTCAGGATACTTTCCTTTAATAAATCCCCCAAAGAAACAGTTCCGGCTTCAATTCTGTGTGTAATTTTGTATAACCATTTTTGTATTTTGATCCAGTGCTTTTTAATTTCTGGGCACAGCCTTTTAGGCTATTTATCTTGCTCTAGCTGTACATTCCAGGTATGGGTTTCATCCCATCTAGTTTTGGTGAGGGCTACAATGTCATGCTTAATCAATTCAAGGAATGAATTAAAGTCATCAGTTAACTTCATTGATTTTAAAGTTTAATTAGTCAATTCGTTCACTAATGAATGAAACCATTAATCAGTGGAACAGCTTGTCTTCGGAAGCTGTGCGTGCTCAATCGGTGGAGGATTTAAGAAGAGATTGGACGGCCATTTGTCCAGAATGGTAGAAGGTCTCCAGCTTGAACAGGGGGGTGGGCTAGAAGACCTCCAAGGTCCCTTCTAACTCAGTTATTCTCTAATCAAAAAAACATCTTGAGAAGGGTCAAAACCACGAGAAAAATGAGGAAGGTATCAGTAAGATTTGTTTTAGTGAAGAAATGCACCAAAATGTCTTTCTTTTTTTTTTTTGATCCTCTAAATATATGTGAAATAGAATAGAATAGAATTCTTTATTGGCCAAGTGTGATTGGACACACAAAGAATTTGTCTTGATGCAAATGCTCTCAGTGTACACATAAAAGAAAAGATACATTCGTCAAGAGTCAAGAATCATTAGATACAACACTTAATGATAGTCATAGGGTGCAATCAGCAATCAAATCATACTAGGAAATAATCGATATAAACCATAAGGATACAAGCGACAAAGTTACAGTCCTACAGTCCCAAATGGGAGGGGATGGGCGATAAGGAGTGATGAGAAGATTAACAGTAATACTAATGCAGACTTTGTAAATAGTTGGACAGTGTTGAGTGAATTAGTTGTTTAGCAGAGTGATGGCATTGGGGGGAAAAAACTCCCCTTGTGTCTAGTTATTCTGGTGTGCAGGGCTCTATAGCGTCGTTTTTGAGGGAGGGAGTTGAAACAGTTTATGTCTGTGATGTGAGGGGTCTGCAGATATTTTCACAGCCCTCTTTTTGACTCGTGCAGGATACAGGTCCTCCATGGAAGGAAGGTTGGTAGCTATTGTTTTTTCTGCAGTCCTAATTACTCTCTGGAGTCTGTGTCTGTCTTGTTGGAACCAAACCAGACAGTTATAGAGGTGCAGATGACAGACTCCATCCTTCCTCTGTAGAACTGGATCAGCAGCTCCTTGGGCAGTTTGAGCTTTCTGAGTTGGCGCAGAAAGAACGTTCTTTGTTGTGCTTTTTTGGATGACGTTTTTGATGTTAGGTGTCCATTTTAGGTCATGTGATATAGTAGAACCTAGAAATTTGAAGGTCTCTACTGAGGTGTGACCAAATATTATTTCTTTGACTTCCCAGTCTGACTCTGTGCAGCTTTTGGAGACGAAAGTGTTATTCAAAAAAAAGCAGACAAGCCCTGTCATCTGAATTTCTCCATCTTTGGATTCTGAGGGAGGCTGTGGGGAATTTTTCTCAGCTCCAAATGTTTTCTGGAATGGTTTTTTTTTTCCTTCTTCTATTTGCACAGAAAGTAGAGACACCCCTCCACATGGCTGCTCGGGCCGGGCACAGTGAGGTAGCCAAGTATCTTCTCCAGAACAAAGCCAAGGTCAACGCCACAGCTAAGGTGAGTACCTGTCTGACTTTGGGATCAATAAAGTCACATCGAATGGATGGCTTTTTCCTTCTTAGTGGCTGCATGTAGGAGGAAAAAACTGGTAGAGCTGGGAGGCGGGTTTAAACGAGTTATCTGCCTAGAATCGTTACATGGTCACAAACAGTTCAAGTCGAACCCCTCTTGAATTCCGTTGACCCTTATCGGGCACCGATTTAGTGTTGAAATTTAGCTGGCTAGATTTAGTTGATCCCTCTTTGATTGGTGTGAGAGTAGGAATGAATTCCCAGAGGAAAAATTGCAGACTACAGGAACCAGAAGTACTACTCAGGTGACCCTGAGGACCCAAATAAACCTCTAAGTGACCTCAACGACCCTCTAAAAGGATGCAAATGACCAGCTGTCTGCAAGGAGTATAAATCCTTCCTTTCCCCACCATCCTGTCAGAGCTGAAGAAGCTTCTTGGATGAGAAGCGAAACATCTTCAAATAGAAAAACAAGAAAGTCCAGTTGCCCCTTGGAAAAAGGACCTTTGGGTCAACCATGACCTGGAGGATGAAGAACCTCTACAGACTTTTAGCTAGACAATTTGGGAGGAAAACCCTTGGAATGGTGTGAGAGTAGGAATGGATTCCCAGAGGAAAAATTGCAGAAGTACTACTCAGGTGACCCCGAGGACACTGATAAACCTCCAAGTGGCCTCAACAACCCTCTAAAAGGATGCAAATGACCAGCTGTCTGCAAGGAATACAGATCCTTCCATTCCCCACCATCCGGTCAGAACTGAAGGAACTTCTTGGAGGAGAAGCAAAACGTCTTCAAAAGAAAAAAACAAGACAGTCCAGTTGCCTCCTGAAAAAAGCACCTTTGGGACAGTTGACTAGATTCTTGTGTAAATGCTTGAGTAGGGGTTGCCCAACCTGTCAACTTGTGGGTTTCAACTTCCAGAATTCTTCAGCCAGCCACGTCGCCAAGTTTGGAACCCCCTGGAATCATGAGATGCCTCGAAGGATGCATCATAAAGTTGTTCCTGTGTCCCCACAACTCCTTGGATTGAAACCAACCCGGTCCTTATCTAGTGACTTCCTCGTGCGAGACAGTTTCCGCGTCCTCCTTTGGGGCAGCGTGGGAAAGGCAGGCCGTTCAGGCAGGGCCAGGCAGCGAGCTAGGATGAGAAAAAGGTGTGTCTTTTCTTCTTTCAGGACGATCAGACACCCCTGCACTGTGCCAGCCGCCTCGGACACTGCGCCATGGTGAAGTTGCTCCTGGAGAGCGGCGCCGATGCTAACCTCTCCACAACTGCTGGACATACGCCGTTGCACATCACGGCCCGTGAGGGGCATCTGGATTGTGTTTGTGCTCTCCTGGACAAAGGGGCATCCCAAACTGCCATGACTAAGGTTGAGAAAGAAGGCTCTCCCCTCCCTTCCCTTCCCATCCTTTCCCATTCCCCCTTCCCCTCCCCTCCCTTCTTCCTTCCCTTCCCTTTCCATTCCTTTCCTCCTTCCTTTTCCTTTTCCTTTCCTTTCCTTTCCGTTCCTTTCCTTTCCTTCCCTTCCCTTCCCTTCCCTTCCCTTCGCCTTCCCTCCCTTCTTCCTTCCCTTCCCTTCCCTTCCCTTTCCGTTCCTTTCCTCCTTTCCTTTCTTTTCCTTTCTTTTCCTTTCTTTTCCTTTCTTTTCCTTTCTTTTCCTTTCCTTTCCTTTCCTTCCCTTCCCTTCCCTTCCCTTTGCCTTCCCTCCCTTCTTTCTTCCCTTCCCTTCCCTTCCCTTCCCTTCCCTTCCCTTCCCTTCCCTTCCCTTCCCTTTCCTTTCCTTTCCTTTCCTTTCCTTTCCTTCCCCTTCCCCTTCCCTCCCTTCTTCCTTCCCTTTCCCTTCTTTCTTTCCTTCCTCCCCCTTCCCCTCCTTCCCTCCCTTAACAACTGTTTTGCTTAGCAACAGAAATTTGGGTTCAATCATGGTTGTAAGTTGAGGATTACCTGTACTCTTCCTGGAAGGCAGGTGACGCAGTTGGGGGGAAGGGTCTGAGTGGGCAGAGGGGTGGGGGCCAGGGTGGGGTGCCCCAGAGAAGGGCCCTCCCAGTGTCCCCAGTTGCTGACACTCCCTGTTTCTCCCCAGAAAGGATTTACCCCTCTGCACGTTGCTTCCAAATACGGGAAGGTGGATGTGGCCGAGGCTCTGCTGCAGCGCAACACGCAACCCAACGCGGCCGGGAAGGTGTGTATAAGGACCCGGCCGAGCGGTGCCGCTGCCCTGGGAGAGTCCTCTTATTTTGTCCCTGCCTCCTCCACAGAATGGCCTGACGCCTCTGCACGTTGCCGTCCACCACAACAACCTGGACATTGTGAAAGTGCTGCTGCCCAAGGGGGCATCTCCGCACAGCGTGGCCTGGGTAAGGGGCATGTCGGCACAGGGCTCCCTCCTCCTGGCTGCAGTTTGTGGGCAGAGGGAGGGGGGCTGAGGGTGCACTGAAGGCATTCATTACAGGGCCCTGTCCTGCCACCCGCCTGCAACACACAGGGCACCCTCTGTGCCCATATGAGAATCGGGAGGTTTTTGGGGAGAGGTCCCACTGGTCTCTGGCTTCACTTCCCTCCTTTAAGCTCGCCCAAAACACCCCAAAAAGCAGGCAGGCAGGAAAAGGGAAGGAAGGAAAGAAGGAGACAGAGAGAGAGAGAGAGAGAGAGAGAGAGAGAGAGAGAGAGAGAGCGAAAGAAAGAAAGAAAGAAAGAAAGAAAGAAAGAAAGAAAGAAAGAAAGAAAGAAAGAAGGAAGGAAGGAAGGAAGGAAGGAAGGAAGGAAGGAAGGAAGGAAAGAAAGAGGGAAGGAAGGAAGGAGGGAAGGAAGGAAAGAAGGAGGGAAGGAAAGAGAAAGGAAGGAAAGAAGGAAGGGAAAGAGGGAGGGAGGGAAGGAAGGAAGGAAAGAAAGAAAGGAGAAAGAAAAGAAGGAACGAAGGAAGGCAAGAAGGAAAGAAAGGGAAGGAGGGAAGGGAAGGACAGAAGGGAAGGCAAGAAAAGAAGGAAGGAGAGAAGGAGAGAAAGAAGGAGGAAGGAAGGAAGGAAGGAAAGGAAGGAAGGAAGGAAAGAGGGTTTGGAAGGAAAAGAAGAGAAGGAAGGAAAAAAGGAAAGGAAGGAAGGAAAGGGGCTTTGGAAGGAAAAAAGAGAAGGAAGGA